TATAGGGAAAAAAATTTCATATAGTAAGTTAGATGGTAGCTGGTGCATGCATGCATGATAAGTGTCAATCTTGCAGTGAAGGCGCATGCTAGGTGGAAACCTTGGAGAAGGCATCTCTGCATGCATGTAACACGATTGGACATTAAGAGAGGCGCCATTGGACTTGGCGAAAGAGTACAAAAATGAAAGGTGTCGTCATCCCCATTGGAGAATAAGAGGTGGCACGGGTTGCAGAGTAGGCGCAGTCTAGGTGACAACCTTGGAGAAGCCATGCCCGAATGCATGTAACACTATTGGAGGTGATGGGAGGAGACTTACATGTTACAGTGTAGGTGCAGAGTAGGCGCAGGCTAGGTGGCAGCCTTGAAGAAGGCATCTCTGCATGCATGTAACACGATTGGACATTAAGGGAGACGCCATTGGAATTGGCGAAAGAGTACAAAAATGAAAGGTGTCGCCATCCCCATTGACGAATAAGAGGTGGCACATGTTGCAGAGTAGGCGCAGGCTAGGTGACAGCCTTGGAGAAGTCATGCCTGAATGCATGTAACACTATTGGAGCTGATGGGAGGAGACTTACATGTTACAGTGTAGGTGCAGAGTAGGCGCATGCTAGGTGGCAGCCTTGAAGAAGGCATCTCTGCATGCAAGTAACACGATTGGACATTAAGGGAGGCGCCATTGGGCTTGGCGAAAGAGTACAAAAATGAAAGGTGTCGCAATCCCCATTGGCGAATAAGAGGTGGCATAGGTTGCAGAGAAGGCGCAAGCTAGGTGACAGCCTTGGAGAAGCCGTGCCTGAATGCATGTAACACTATTAGAGGTGATGGGAGGAGACTTACATGTTACAGTGTAGGTGCAGAGTAGGCGCGGACTAGGTGGCAGCCTTGGAGGTTACAGGCTTACTTAATTCAAATTCAGTATGACCTATTTAGTCTTACATTTATTGAAACACTGATTCACTTAATCTGTCAAACCTTCCAACCTTCAAACCTTCATACAATCAAACCTTCAAACATACAAACCTTCGAATAACTCATAAACTTCAAACCTTCCAACCTTCAAACCTTCAAACCTTCAAACAACCATACGCAATGGCCTCTGCACCCCAATATGTCATCAATGCACATTCCAACGGTGAGACATACATTTGTCCCACCTCTGAGTTTTTGTTTAGAGACACAGACAACATCCAATTTCTTTTAAACGGGAAAGCCAATTTCTCGTACTTCAAAAAACGATTAGAAGCCAAACTTGGACGACGCCTGGTGACACAAATATTTTATCAAAATCCAGTTTTTTTTGGTAACAACCAAATAATATTTTATAAGGTTGAGGTTCAAGATGACGAGGATCTTCAGAATATGTTTTCTAGTCATGTGTATTCTGGGTACGACTCTATTGAGTTATACATTATGCTGCGAGAGCCTCAGGTGACACAAGTGGTTGATCCTTTGGAGACCGAACAAGCAGAGGCAGATGTAGTTGATGAAGAAGAAGAAGAAGATGACGAGTTAGAGTTTGATGAAATGGTGAATGATAATTCCGAAGACGATGGGATACCTGATATTCCTGCAAATGAGATCTACACACCACCTCCGCACATGACAAACTTCAACATGGGCGAAGATGAACCGTCTTCTGATTTATTTTTCAATCCGTATATGTTGTCGGATGAAAACTTAAAAGAGAAGGACAAGTTTCGTAACAGAGAGGAATGCATCAGAGCCATAAAAAATTTCCACATGCTCAACTCGGTCGATTTTAAGGTGGACCGTGTCAACCCAGAAAGGTATAAGATCAAGTGTGTCCACCCTGATTGTATGTTCAAGCTCACTGCATCATACAGATTAAGAGGTGATTGCTGGGTCATAGGTTCCATGTCTACCCACACATGTGTCAGTTCTACCCAATCACAGGACCATCGAAAACTTAATTACAATCTCATTTGTCAATAAATCCTACCACTCGGCAGCAACGACCCATCTTTGAAGGTGAAAACCATCATCTCCCACATCACTATGGTTTTTAACTATACTCCGTCTTACCGTAAGGCGTGGTTAGCAAAGACCAAGGCGATTGAAAAGGTGTACGGAAATTGGGAGGAGTCATACCAAGGATTTCCTCGCTACCTGAATGCACTCAAGACTTATTCTCCGGGAACTGTTTAAATTCTGGAAACAGTACCAGCATACGCCCAAGATGGTAGTCAACTAAACGTAAACAGAATAATCAGTCGAGTGTTTTGGGCATTTCAACCTTGCATCATAGGGTTTGCATCATGCAAACCAATTATACAAATTGATGGGACATGGTTGTATGGGAAATACAAAGGCACGCTAATGATGGAAGTTGCACAAGATGGAAACAACAACATTTTCCCAATTGCCTTTGCCCTAGTCGAGGGGGAGACCAGTGGTGCTTGGAGCTTTTTTCTGAAAAACCTGCGAACACACGTGGCTCCTCAACCAGATCTCTATTTGATCTTGGACAGACATGCCTCCATTAAAAGTGCCTACAATAATCCTGCAAACGGTTGGCATGACCCTCCTTCTACGCATGTATATTGCGTTAGACATATCGTCCAAAATTTCACGAGGGAGATCAAGGACAAAACACTAAGGAAAGCGGTTATGAGTGCGGGATATGCATTGACAGAACTCACGTTCAAATATTACCGCAACGAGATCCGTTTGTCAAATCCGGAAGCCGGTAGGTGGGTCGACAATATTCCGGTGGAAAAATGGACTAGATCATACGATAATGGCCAAAGATGGGGGCACATGACAACAAATCTAATTGAATCGATGAATGGGGTATTCAAAGGCATACGAAACCTCCCGATCACTACTTTGGTAAAATCTGCGTATTTTAGGATGGCTTCGTTGTTTGCCAAAAGAGGTGAAATGTGGAATGCGGTGTTGCAATCTGGAAAATTATGGAGTGAAAGCTGCATGAAGTACATTAAGGCAGAAAGTGCCAAAGCCAACACTCATATGGTTATACGGTTTGACCGACACAGCCACAACTTCATTGTGAAAGAGACAATCGACCACAACGAAGGCCTCCCAAGACAAGAATATAGGGTTGTACTACCTTCTCGTTGGTGCGATTGTGGCAAGTTTCAAGTATTTCGTATGCCTTGCTCTTATGTCATTGCCGCTTGTGCTTATACCCATCAAGACGCGCTACAACTTCTGTCACACATTTACAAATCTGAAACGTTGCTCAACGTTTACAACAACAACTATCCTTTGGTAGCAAAACCAGATTATTGGCTTGCATACGACGGCGAAATAGTGTGGCACAGTGACCAAATGTGAAGGAACAAGAAGGGTCGTCCCAAAAGTAAGCGCATCACAACCGAAATGGACGACCTTGACAAGCTGGAAAGAAAGTGTGATTTATGCCGTCAGGTCGGACACAATCGCAAAAATTGTCCGAATCGGGCGTCTGCCTCGACCACATAAAAATTCTAATACATAAAATCTTTCCTTAATTATGTTGTAAACATTAGGGTTTTTCGTTAACAATATTTGCTATAATAAATATTGCGCGTACAAGAAAAAAACACGATATTCCACCTACGAAATTACAACTGTTAAAACAATTTCATCTGACCCATGCATCATCAATATTACGTCGCTGTCTGTTTTGACTTCCTCCAACCATACATTAGGTTTTCCAGTCGTATGTGAGGTTGTTGTTCGTCTTCGCTGGATCCTTCGAATTTTTCCCCCTCCACAATGTCTCCATCTAGCCATCGCATCAACTCCCGCTTCAGACGCTCCAAGGAGTGAATGTGCCAGAATTTCATTTTCATCGCAGGTTTCGTGGCGGAGAAGATAACGTAACCATCTCTGGTAAAAATCATGGACGATGTCATGACGCAAATAACAGAGTAAAAAATAAGAAAACAGTGCGAGAAAGTGTGAGAAATGACGGAGAAACAGACGAATTATTTATAAAAACAGCATTTTGCCCTAGGAGCCAAGTGAGATGGCGCCTCCTCTCACTTTTAAAGTGCATGCGCCATCTCACTTGGCTAAAAGAGACAGGAGGCGCCAAGTGAGATGGCGCCTAGGACAAAAATGTTGGTGGAGGTGCCAAGTGAGATGGCTCCTCCTTTGGGGAGTCATCTGAAACATGGTTATTTGCGGAAAAAAATTTTAATACCTGATTATTGCAAAAAAAAAATCTTGATTGTTCTACTAAATAATTCAAAAATTATTTATTTTGACATCTTATAATATAAACATACATTATTAAAGATTAAAATATAGTCAAAATTATATTTCAAAAATGATTTTTATAAAAATCTATTTAAAATAGTTTCAAAATTAAGTAATTTTTTGAAATTTTGATATTCAATTTTTTTTTCAATAAAAGGATAAAATACTTAAAATAATATTTTAACAATAATTATTTAAACCAAATTTTTTATTAAAATTTTTAAAAAAAAATTTTTTACGCAAAATTATATAATATTATAAGAATCATTTTTAATAAAAGCCAAAACAAATTAACTCTAAATTGAAAACAGGATAGAAATGCATTTCTTTTTCTTGCTCGATACGAATTTGAATCTACTGCAGGCATTTTTTCAGGCAATCATGTAGTTAAACAATTTTCAGCCGTCTGATCTTGATCTAATTATTGATTAGAAAAAACGGTTTTCATTTTTGTTTTATAACTTAAAAATACTTTGATAAAATAATATGTAAAATAGGGAGTAATAAGGCAGGAATGAGTTCTGGAGAAAAGCATGCACATATTGAAATATATAGTACTTCATATATACTTAAATTTTCAGCTTTAACTAATAAACTTGTAGTGTAGATGATCCCTTACATTACATTAAACACACATCATAAACATCATAACAAAACAAATTAATACTAACTAACACTCCTGTAGGTGAGAAATATAATCTTGATAAAACACTAAAATTAGACACTTGTGAGATAACAATAAACCCACTATAATTAAGTTTTATTTTCTTAAGAATAGTAAAATAGATTAAATATATTAATTAACTTGTCACCAGAACCTCCAAGTCCGCTACCGCTGGATCCACTGGATCCACCTAGTCCACCGCCTAGCCCGTTGAATCCTCCGAGTCCACCACCGCCTAGTCCGCCAAGTCCACCACCACCAAATGGAAAACCATTGTTACCAATTCCTGAAAATCCACCAAAGGTCTTCTCATCCTTCAAGCCAGCCTCTCCAGCAGGCACATTTCTTGCACTTGTTCCAACTAGAGCAAGAGCCAAAACCACCAAAATGCACCACTTACTCATGTTTCTCTCACTCAAAAGTATATACTATAACAACCAAGAGGGTTCTCCTTTTATATAGGAGAAGGAGAAGATGCAGTTGGGTGGTTGAATGAAAAGTTAATGAACTTCAATGCTATTGCAGAGCCTTTTAGCTGCCAATTAACAACCACATTGTACCAAATATTTCGGCTGCAAAGTGTACCTATAGACGTTTTGTTTTAATATCTTAAATTAAAAAAATGGATTTTATTGATTCATTTGTTTCTCTATAATTAAGATTCTGAGACTAACCTCCATTAATTTAGTAATTAGCTTTGTTTTTTCCTTGTTTTTATCATTAAAAACTTAGCGGGCATCTTTAATTTGTATTCTTTCTCCTGTAACTTAGGGTTTACTTGTTTCAGTTTTAACAAATATAAATAATCACGTTCTGGTTTATAATTCTTTCTACCTTTTTAATTCTTTTTAATTCATTGTTTCATTTCAATTTAATTTATAATTCATGCATAAAAGAAAGAAAAAAAGGGAATTAATAATTAACAAAAGTTGATTTTTTAACGTCACTTTTGTGAAAGATCGTAATTGTAATACTAATTTTTCTTTATAATATATTTGAAGAAATAATATAGATAGTGAAACTAAAATATTATAAGAAATTATTAAGAATTATAATTTCAAAACACATTAATCTTAGGTATTGTTCTCTCGACCGCTTTTTTACCTTTACATATTCATTTGTTATGTTTCATATTTCCGTATTTTTGACATTTCGGTGTTTGAAGAATTCTCAACAAAGTATTTGTGTTTCTAGGCTCATTATTTACTTTGTTATTGTTCTTCTTTGACCGTCCAATAGCTCTTCTCATGACCGAAGGATAGATTGACTCAAGTCCATTTGTTGACCATGGTTGTGCACCATTTGTTACATAATGATATGAAAAGGATTAACATCCAAAAAAAAAAATTAATAATAAAGAAACTATAGAAATCAATTTTTAAAATGAAGGGACAAAAATCGATAATGTTTTTTGTGTAAGTAAGATATATTAGAAAAAGAGAACTAAGGGTTCTCCAACCTGAATACACAATGAAACGAGCAGAACAATTCGCCAAAAAGATAAATTACCGACCAATCGAACCTAAGATAAGAAGAACAAAGGATTTTTGCTAAACTCCTAAAAATTACAATTGGGATGAGTAATTTCACCAAACCTAAACCATCTCCAAAGAGTAGCCTTAATGTTCCAAACTACATCAAGAACATTCCACCTATCGTTACGGAAAACAATTTTGTTCCTTAGAATCCAAATACTCCAGGTAATAATCATCCATATGCAATCTTCTTTTCCCTTCTTCACCTTTTTAGACTTGCAGTACTTGTACCAAATCACAAAACTCCCTTTCGAATCATCCTCCAAACAATTCGAAAAACTGGTAAATTCTGCAATATCCCGCCAAATAAGTTTTGCAACATTACATTTAAAAAAAGAGTGATTCACATATTCATCTTCTATTCCACTGAAAGTACATGTTTGAAAAACAATAGGAAGAACGATACCTCTAAGCTTCAATAGATCCTTGGTCGGGAGCCTATTGGCAAGAAATCTCCACCCGGAAGCTTTATTCTTAAACGAAACCACCATTTCTCACACCTATTGCAAAGCTTTGTCAAAATTATTAAATGGGCCATAAGGGATTTTCGGATCTGCTAAAGCTACGTAACAGGAGCTGGCCCAAAAGTCATCATTATTTTTCTAAATTCCATCTCACCAAATCATTTCCAACCAGACTGCAAGTTAAACCATGTAACAGAGACCACAACTTCAAGATACCATCTTCCAGGCTGAACTGCACGACTACGGATTGGGGGATACTGGAATCTCCCCAAAGCCAAACATCATTACTCCAAACCCCCATCCTAGCAACTGATACAACCTCTAACAGAGAAGCAGAAAAAAGAGCAGGAAAAGAATCCTTCAAAATCGTATCCGGTATCCAGGTGGAATGCCAAAATGTCGTAGTGAGTCCTCTGCCTATTTCAAAACTGCAAATTTTGACAAATACATCATCACTCTTCTTCTTGTTCAAGGAAATTAGATCCTTCCACCAAGAGAAAATAGAGAAAGGAGCAATCTTAAGAACTTCACTACAGACAACCTGCAAGCAAATGTCACCATAACGCGCTCTCAAAACATTGTACCATAAAGAATTTGAGAAGATCCAAGTTAAAATCTACTATACTTTTAAGACAAATTCCACCTTTATTAATAGGAAGACAAACATCTTTCTAACTAACCCAATGTATCTTCCTTTTATCCTCCGATCCCTCCACGAAAAATTTCTTTGGAGCTTAGTAATATCTTTTGCCATCTTCATCAGCATTTTGTAAAAAGACATAGTAAATACTGATAAGGAGCACAATACAGATTTAAGAAGAGTGATCTTTCCTCCAAGATTAAAGAACCAAAATTTCCACCCCGAAAGACGCCTCTTAGTTTTATTCAAAAGAAAACTCCAAGTCGAAAACCTTCTAAAATTATAACCAATAGGAATTTCAAGAAAAGAAAATTCCTTACCTTCCACCTTACACGAAAGAAAATTTGAAGCCAAGATAATAAAAAGAAAAAAGTTACAATTAAGTTTTTTTAAAACTTTTTTTAATATGACGTATCGGTTTTCTTTTTTTAAATAAGGTATTTTGAAAAGGTTGTTAACATAATCGTCATTGAAAAATATTTAATATGATTTTCTTCTTTATTTATGTGAAATATTGGTTTTTTAAAGGTGTGTTTTGAAAATTTTCTTTAAATGCATTTTATTTTAATTTAACATTATTTTACAAAATATGTTTTTTAATTCATTCTAAAATATTTTCTATTTCATTTTTTAGATAATTTATCTTCATATGAAAAAGATATGATTTGAATAGGTGTATCTATTCTATAGAATTGTTTTTAGTGTTCAGATACAATGTTTAAACACATTATTTTTAAAAATTAGATTTTTCTGTTTTTGAAAAACAATTATATAACAAATATCTACTTTATAGAGTCGTTTTTAATGTTGAGATACAGTGTTTAAAGTTTAAACACTTTTTTTTAAATTAGATTTTCTTATTTTTAAAAGAAAAAAATATTTAAATAATTTATCAATTTTTAAAAGTGTATGACTCATAATTATACAGACAATATAAATATATTTAAAAAAAAAATAGTGTATATTATATTTGGAAGGGTAATTTCATCAGTGATATTTATTTTGTTGGTTAGAAAAAATTATATGTTCAAGGAAATTGGTGGTTTAGAGTTCAATCAACTAGAGAATGCAACGCGGCCTAGCGAATGGGGGGATTCAAATATTTTAGATTTAATAGTAATTGGCCACCTCGTAGTAGTCTTCTTGAGTTAGTGACTTTTTTATGGAGTACAACTAAGTTTTATGGTTGCAAAGTGTTTATTTTGTTGGAGAAGCTTAAAGCCCTCAAAGTGGTTATAAAATCTGTAATAAATTGGATTTTGCTAACCTTGACTCCCAAGTTGAAAAATTTGATAGGTTTGTGATTTTGTGATTGACAATAATTTTGGTAAAATATGTGTCACAATCAGATGTTTAGCAAGATGTCATAACATCTAGATCACTTTATGTATCAGGCTTTACTGTTGCTTCTTGATGGTTCTGATTTGATTTTTTCGAGATTCTCAATTGATTTATCTCACATATTTGAACAAATCAAAAAGGGTTATTTTTGGTACAAGTAATTTTATCTCTAATTGTGTATTAGTTTCTAAAATTAGATGTTGAGACAACTTAGAAAACTTGTGATGTTTTTGTTTCATATTTCAAGGAGATCTTTTATGCATAATTTGTGCAGCCATCAGTTTGTGGATCTACAATAAATTGAGTGAAGAATACAAAGCCCATGATAACTGAGGAGTTTAAAAGAAAAAACCTAAACCTAATGCAAAGTGTGAAAAAAGGGAAGTTGTTATTCAAGAATATTTAGGGTTTGAGAGTTTTTCATTGTTCTTTGTTTTTTTTATGTTACTCATGTATCTTGTTTGATGCATTAAGGTTGACTAATTGTTCATTTTTCATTGTGATTCATGAATGAGATTTTAAGAAAAGAGTGTAATCTATTTAATTGGAAGTGTGTTCTTCTATTTTGATCATTGGTATTGTCAATGAGGTGATTGTGGGAAGTGAGAGAGGGTTCTCATATCTAGGAGGTTCCTAGGTTGAAATTGCATGGGTAGTGATTATGTGATAAGTTATAAATTGTTTTGTTTAAGCTTTGAACTAATACAATTATAATTAATTTTCTTCCTGGCTTGGATGCCCCCCCCCCCCAGCCAGAGTAGGTGAAGTTGCACCGAACTAGGTTAACATTTGACTGTGTTATTTATCTTTTGCAATTTACTTTTTGCATGATTTATTGTTTTTGTAAATTTCTCTGTCAGTAATATGATGTCTTAACATCTTTCTTGACATTGTGTTTTTTCGTGTTGTAACATCAGTCTTAACATCTATCTAGTATGACAGAATTTTAATTGGCATCAGAGCAGGCACCCTGTTCTGTTTTTGAGTGACCTCCAGGGAAGATACTTCTGGTACTATGGACAAGGAAAGAAGATACAATAACATACCACCTCTATTAGATGGTGTCAACTATGACTATTGGAAGGCTCATATGGTAGCTTTTCTAAAATCCATGAACAACAGATCTTGGAAGGTTGTTTTGAAAGGTTAGAATCATCATGTTGTAAAGGACAAAGATGTGAATGAGTCTTTGAAGCCATAAGAAGATTGGTCTAAAGAGGAAGATGAAATAGCTCTTGGAAATTCCAAAGCTTTGAATGCTCTATTAAATGGAGTGGACAAGAATATTTTCAGGTTAATGAATACATGTACTATAGCTAAAGATGCTTGAGAAATTCTCAAGAAAACTCATGAATGCACATCTAAAGTGAAGATGTTCATACTTCAGCTTTTCACTACCAGATTTGAGAATCTAAAGATGAATG